GAAGGCTACTTCCAGGTCCTGTAGGTGCAGGTGAAGGCCCCCAGGTCGGGGGAGGAGGACAGGGGCCCCCTGGGGGGCCTGTCCCCACCTGGAGCTCAGGTCGCCAGAAGCCAGGCTGGGTGCCCTAGCCCAGCCGGCCACTGGCTGAGCAGCGGTCGGGGGGGCCCATCTTGAGAGCATTAGGGGCTGCCGTCCACAGGTGGTTTTGGTTACGTGCTATTTGTTAGTCTAATGAGAGGAGGTGCGCTGGCTTTCAGAGCCCACGGGGCCGCCGGGTTTTATATGGGCGGCCGCGGGGCGCTGGCGGCGGGCGGCGCGGGGCCCCTGCCAGGCGCGCCCGCCCGGCGGCTCCTCGCTTTGATTTCCAGGTTTGCAGCCATCCGCGCGGTAATTCCGGCTCTAGTTAAATGTCATTTTTAATAACGCCATCTCTGGTGCGCCAACGGCTGGGCCCTGGGCAAAGGGGGGCGGAGGGGGGAGGCCAGACAGATAGGCGGGGTCCAGGGCGCAGAGGGGAGGGCGGCAGGGGGTGGCGCTGCACTGTGACTGAAGCGCCCTGGGGAGGGGTTTCCTCACCTCCTGGGGAGGCGGTGGGGTCCTTGGCGGGGGTCAGATGCGGCGGGGGGGAGAGAGCAGAAGCTCCTCCATGGGGCTGGGACTCCGTGGGCCATCTTGTGCCCCGCCCAGACCAAAGGAAGTTTCTAAAGCCCCCCATGCCTGGGGGACCACCTACTCTTTCACCACCCGCACCTAGGACCCCCTCCAAGGCCTCCTTTTTGGCCCAGCAACTTCCTGTCCAGCTTCCTTGCTTCCCCTTCATTTGCCTGGCCCCTCTCACCGCCCAGCAACTGGTAGCTCCCCTACCTGCCCAGAACTGGTCTCCCAGAATTAACCCACGACACGCGGCCCCGAGAGGGTGTGAGGGGCCTGAGCCCAGCCATCCTGGAATCCCTGACTCCCCACGTGGAAGAGACACAGAGCAGGGCAGCCGGACACGGCTCAGGGCCATGAAGGCCATGGGGAGGAGAGGCCAGGGACATTCACTCCCAAGGTTTCTTAACAGCTACGGCTCCTCCGGCTGTGCCCAGAGGAGCCTCCTCCCACTGGACCCCAACAGACATCCCATCTTTGCCTTTGCCCAGTGTGGGAGCCAGAGGAGACAACTCCCCCAACCCACCTACCTCCTTGTCTAAACAGGAAGCCCCCCGTCTCTCCCCTACTCAGCACCTCGCAGAAGGCACTTAACCCTTGGCCCACAGCAGCGCCATGTGGATGGGGCTGGAGCCCTCGCTGTGTGTGCGTGTGTGTGCGTGCGTGGGTGTGAGCCTCGCTGTGTGTGTGTGCGTGCGTGGGTGTGTGCATCGGGCTGTTGCATCTCCGCATCCAGGAGCCCTGGATGGATGGCACGTATGTGGCTCCCAGATACCAGCGTGCCACCAGCCACAACATGAGGAAACACGGTGAGCAGAGCAAGGATGGAATCCCAGTAGGGACGACAGGCTCTGGGGGCAGACTCACCATCTGCCCTTCCTGCACCTGTTCCTCCTGAGTTTCTGGAAAATTCACTGGAGTGAAACCAGGGCCTGCCATCGTCTGGAGGCTGGGGGCGACTGTGGAGTGAATGAATGTGTGAGTGAGCTGAAGTCTAGACCTGTGCTTTTCTGCAAAGATGGGGACCTACAGGAGAGGATGGCTCACCTGCCAGCATCCCTGAGGCTGGCCACACCCATGCCAGGCTGCTGTTGCGAATGTCAAGGGGACCCCACGGTCCTGGCTATCCATGCCTTCCACCCCCCCGGTCTCATTGCCCATGCCTGCCCAGCGGCTGGACCCCCTGGGTGGGGCCATCCTAGCTTCCCCCAAGCCCCTAGGGCTGCCTTCAGACTGCAGTGGGGAGCCAGGCAGGCCCGGCTGCTGCAGAGTTCCTGCCCAGAGGCAAGAGTCCTGGGGAGCCACTGTGCTGAACCCCACCCAGGCAGACCTGAACCAAGCTACCGGGATCAGGTGCCCTCCATGCACGTCACTGCCCCCTGCGCCTGTGGTCCCGGCTGTGGTCATCCCAGAGGACCAAAGCCTGGGTCAGCTCGGGGTCTCAGACCTCACCCGGCTATGCCCCGCAGCAGCTTGCTCCTTACCCTGCATCTCCGCCCTCCCCGGCTGCCCTTGGCCATGTCTTCCCGTGTCTCAGAAGTCAGGCACAGGGACCTACGTGAGTGCAGCTCAAGATGGCAGAAGTGTTCTGTAGGTACCCGCCTTCCCTGGGTAGACGCCCCTAGGACCTGCCGCCGATGGAGGCCACAGAAACAAAACTGGACCAGCAAGGACAATCCAATCCATACCGCACACCGACCAACCGACCGACCCAGCGACGGTACTCAGACACTGCCCGGTTGGGCTCGCTACCACCGAAGCACAACCCCCCAACTCCCTACTCTGGGGGGTCAGAGTCGAGGCTGGGAAGATACTGCAGACATGGCCGGGGGGGGCTGCTGACCCGCTGCGGTGCCTTGGGACCGCGCAGGGACCAGCGGCTGCAGCAAGGACACCCCCACAACCAGCCTGAGCTTGGAGGTTTACACTTGAGGGCCCCTTCAGTGTCCAGCTTGGCTCCACTGCCCATCTCACTCCAGACCAGGGCACCCCTGTGAACAGATGGAACTCCAGCTGTTCCACCCAAGGACTCCAGCTGGCCCAGTGCCTCGCAGTCCAGGAGCCCACCTCCCACACCCTAACCCCAGCTTCTCCACGTCCCCACCAGGTCCCAGCAGCCCTGGGCCTAGGCTGGGGTAGGGGCCTCGCCCTGGTAGGCTCCAGGGACTCTGTGTGTGTGTTTTTACAGCGTGTCCATGTCCCCCCACTTCCGCCCTGCCCACGGCAGGGAGGGCTTCAGAGCGGCTCCGGGGTTATTAATGTGGTTTCTTTTGTTATAAGTCATGGCAAAGGCAGAGACCGGGGGTTTATTTTCCTAACGTGCTTGGCATAGCTCGGCGCCTGGGCTCAGCCCTCAGCGTTTGATTTGGGCGGAACCCGAGAGGAGGCTCTCTTGCTCTGAGTCACAGCAGAGCCTCGGTTGCCACCCGTGGCCACGGCAGCCAGGGCTGAGGCCGGGCTGGGAGGGGGAGGGGAGAGAAGGGGTCTGGGGTCCTAGAAAGCCACAGGCGGGAACCAGCTGGCTCCTGGGGACTTCGCAAAAATCCAAGATTGGAAACTTTCAGAAGCCAATCGTCCGAGCAGGGAAACCAGCGCATTGAAAATAGAGTTTCGAATTTCTTAGCTTCCTGTTAGTCCACGCTGTTGGAGCAGGGCGCAACACGCCTCCCTGGGGGACCAGCCTTTCTTTGAATGCGGACAGAGCTGCAGATACCTCAAGAAAACCCACTTCCAAGCTTGTCCGACCCCTCGGGCAGGGATCACAGACCCCTCCTCCATGATTGGGACCCCTCATCCCTCCTCCCGTTTGCTTCCCACCTCAGATCCCATAGGCACTAGGGTTCCCCAGCAAGTGCTAGGAGAACTGAGTGATAAACACAGCAGGAGGCTGGCAGACCCTCGGATGGGCGGGAGCTTCACTGTCCCTGGGGCAGAGCTATGGTTTGTGTGGGGGGGCGGGGGGAATCCAGGGAACAGCCCCTGAGTGCTTCTGTCCCATCTGAGCCCGCCCCTGACATGTCTTGTGCCTGGGTATCCCCCATTGCAGGCCCCTCTGGCTCTGGAGAGTGGCCAAGTCCAGGAGGCTGCTGGGAACACCTGCTCCCCACGTGACAACATCCCTCTTGGGGCAGCCAACTCTGCTGCGTCCAGGAGGAACCTTGCCTTCGACCACCTGTGCCCACCACAGGGATTGGGTGAGACCCTGGCACCCATGCCCTGGGCCAGGACCTGCTGCTCCTGTCCCCAGCTCTCTTCTGTCCTGTCCATCATGGGTGAAGGGGGGCTGCTTGCGAGCCAGCTGGCAGGGCACAGCCCTCCCAAACCCCTCCCTGAACCTTTCACCCCAACTCTCAGCAGCCATGGGTCAGCTTCATGCTCACTCCCAAGGCCGAGGACAGTGGCCGCACCTCCTCAGCTGGCATCACAGACCCGGCAGCCACTGCTGCCACCGGACACAGGCTGCTGCCAGCCGGGTTCTTCCAGGGGCGTCCTCTGTGGACTGGTGGGCGCACACACTCCTGGATGTGGCATTAGACGTGGCTACGATCACCCCCACTTCTCCCTGCACCTCCACGACAGTCAGGGTGCTGCTGAGGCTGGGGCACTGGGGGGTCTCCAGGGGTGGGCAGGTAAGGGGGCGCGGCTTAGTCCCCTTTCTGTCAGGTAGAGAGATCAGGGCCCGCCTCCCCTCAGGGCAGGGACTCTTGCTTGTATCATCTCCTCCCCTCCCCCTTCCTAGCCAAGGCTCACCATTCTGGGATCCTGTGTGACTTTTTGGGGAAAAAAAATGCCACTTGGGTAGATTGTTTGTTTTTAGAGCCCCTTCCTGATGACCTTTGGCCCTCAGGGGGGCGGGGGGAGAAGGATGGGCTGGCCCTTGGAGACTGGGTCACTCCACCTGGAAAGGGGGGCGGTGGGCAGGGTGCCCGGTCAGCCAAAGAATCCATCTGAAGACGCGGGCTGCTCCCGCGTGAGGACAGGCCGTCTGAAGCCCACTGGGCCAGCACTTTCCCTCACTCAGCACCCCACAATGGGGGCGGGAGGGGGGGGACAGCGGAGCTCTGGTCACGAGGAGGTACCCTGCCCCCGTGGGGAGTGCTAGAGGACCGCAGTCCACCCCATCCTGGCATTGGGCTGCGGGGCAAGGCAGTCCCCGCGGCCACAGTGCCAGCGGCCCCTCGGCTGCGCGGCCTCGGCCCCTCGGCCCCTGCAGGCCGGGCATGCCACAAGTGGACCCTGCACCCGGTGCACCCCGGCGGCCTCCATCCTCCCTGCGGCCCGTATGCCCCGTGGAGCCCGGCGCCTGCATTCCCACGCCCCGCGCGCTCCGCAGCGCCCCGCGCACTCACCGTCCTGCGGCGCCGCCTCGCTGCCGCTGCTGGCCCCGGACGGCTCCCGCGCCGCTCCCTCCGGCGCCCCGGCCCTGGCCGCGGGGCGCGCCGCCAGCCGCCCGGCCGCCGCCACCTCCTCCAGGTCCAGGAGGTGGCTCACGGTGAAGTTCTTGCGCGCCTGGGCGCAATCGCCCTGCCCCAACGCGGGCGCCGGCGGCGGGGGTGGCGGCGCCGGCGCTCCGGGGCCCAGCGCCGGCTTGTCCAGGACGAAGGCGGCGGTGGCCGCCGCGCTGTCCATGCCCGCGAGCGGCCCCGGGGTGGCGGAGCGAGCGCGCCCCCGGCCGCCCCGCGCTCTGCCCGGCTCCGGGCCGCCTGCTCCTGGCTCCCTCCGCTCGCTCGCTCGCGGCCCGCCCGGCGCTGACGTCGGGGAAGCAAACTTTCTGCCCTCCCCTTCTCGCGCTCCTTCGCCCGCCCCGAAGTGGCTAAGGTGACGGCGACGACGGCGACGAGCGAGCGCTCCTCCGGCCACGCGCCCCTTCTGGAGGCAAACCTAGCCCCCTCCCCTCCCCCATCCCCACCCCCAGCTCTCGGGCTACGGGGAGGGGGTCCCTCGCTGCCGCCAAGGCCGGCTCGGGGCTGGGAGGCTGGGACCTGAGCTCTGTTCCCGCCCTCCGCACCCGCTCGTGCTGGAGGGGTAGGTCATTGTTTCCGGGGTTCTGGGGGTCTTGACAGCCCCTTTACAAGTATCCTGTGTAGGTGGGGAGGGGGTGACTTCAGCTGTACCCTCCGTCCCCAACACTCTCCTCACGCTGTCCCTGCGTCCTCCAGGGTCCCCTCCTTACTCCACCCCGATTCCATCAGAAAGGTGCCAGCCGCCTGGGTCTGGGCGAGGCCCCCCACTCCCGCCCCTCCTCAAAGGAAGCTGGGCTGGGAGGAGGGCCAGCCAGGCTGGCCGATGCCCGACTGGGGGGCGGGGCGCTCCAGGCTCAGGCTGTTCTTCCAGGAGGGCTCTAGGAAGATGCACCCCAGGACGCCTGACCTTCCCAAGATGCTCAGGTCTTTCCTAGAGGGGCTGCCCAGTGGCCTGTCCATCCGTGTCCCTGGCATCCTGCCTCCAGGCACAAAACTACAGCAGCAAACCCAGGTGTACCCCGGAAGGGCCCTCAAGTGTCCTTCCTTCCTGGGCACCCCCTTAACGAGAGACCCGGCCCAGACCCAGGCGGCTGCAAGTCGTGGGTGGAAGTGCATGCTGGCCCTAAAGAGGGTCCAGTGGGAAAAGGCCCACACAGATGGGGTGGCCGTTGGCCAACCTGGGCACTGTGCAGAGTGTGAGGGGCTGGCGCTGCCTTGATGGGGTTCCCAGCTCCAGAACCCCTTGGCATTCACGGGATGGGGCCAACAGAGGCTTTGTGGGGTTGGAGGTGGGGTCCTAGGCCCAGCTATGCTGTATTCCGCTGAGCCCAGGACTAAGTAAGGAGGAGCCCCCTTACTCCTCCTGGGCACTGGGTAGGTGGTAGGGGGCAGGTTCTGGGCCTGCAGCTGGGAATACCAGAACTGGCGTGGACCCAGGAGACCACCTACGTCCAGCTCCCTGAGGAAAATGAAGCTCAGGCAGCAGGGAGGAGGGTGGACGGGGGCTCTGGGTACCTGAGCCGGGCTGCCTCTGACTTTGAAGATGTACACACGTTGGTGCCAGTCTGAGAACTCAGGTGCAGAGTTAGCTTTCTTATTACAGAAGTGACAGGCTTGTTGTGGAGATGAAAAAGCATTGAGTTCAGACAGTAAGGGTCACCCCATCCCTCCCTGGGTCAGTCCTCACGTTCAGTAGGCCTCCATGCATTAAAAATAAATAAATAGGGCCTGGCGAGGTGGCCTAGCGGCTGAAGTCCTCACCTTGAACGTGCCGGGATCCCATATGGGCACTGGTTCTAATCCCGGCAGCTCCACTTCCCATCCAGCTCCCTGCTTGTGGCCTGGGAGAGCAGTCGAGGACGGCCCAAAGCCCTGGGACCCTGCACCCACTTGGGAGACCCGGAGGAGGTTCCCGGTTCCTGGCTTCGGATTGTCGCAGCACTGGCCATTGCAGTCACTTGGAGAGTGAATCATCGGATGGAAGATCTTCCTCTCTGTCTCTCCTCCTCTCTGTATATCTGACTTTGCATTAAGGAATAAATAAATCTTAATAAATAAATAAATGAATGAATAAAAGGTGCAGCGGTGTTGTGAAAAATGTTGGCGATACACTTTCTGTTTATTTGATGCTGAAGCCCTTGAAAAAGTGATAAGACAAGAAAAAGAAATGAGCTAGAAAATAATTTTAGGGGTTTTTGCCATGGCGCAGTAGGCTGACACTTTGCCGGCAGCACCAACATCCCCTTACGAGCGCCTGTTCAAGTCCTGGCGGCTCCACTTTCCATTCAGCTCCCTGTTTGTGGCCTGGGAAGCAGTGGAAGATGGCCCAAGGCCTTGGGACCCTGCCCACCCATATGGGAGACCCAGAAAAAGCTCCTGGCTCCTGGCTTCAGTCTGTCTTAGCTCTGGCTGTTGCAGCTATTTGGGGAGTGAACCAGCAGATGGAAGAGCCCTCTTTCTCTCTCTCTTTGTTTCACTTTCTTCCTATAACTCTGCTTTTCAAATTTAATACATATATAATTTGTTAAAAAATTTAAAAATAAATAACTTTAGAGGCTGTCTTTCCAGCTTACGTCTGACTATTCAAATATATGGAAACAGGTAAACGTGTTATGAAAATGTAACCACACCTGCTGTTCACCACGATTTTTTTTTTTTAAAGATCGTTCACTTACTGGAAAGGCAAAGCTGCAGAGAGAGAAGGAGAAAGAGCGCCCTTCCACCTGCTGGTTCATCCCCAGATGGTTGCAATGACCAGGGCTTGGCCAGGGTGAAGTCAGGAGCCACATTCAGATCTGTTACACATGGCTGGCAAGAAGCCGAGCACTTGGGCCGTCCTCCGCTGCTTCCCAGCTCACCGGTGGGGAGCTGGGGCAGAAGTGGAGCAGCCAGAACTGCAGGTAGCACCTTTAGCCACTGGGCCATAGTGCCAGACCCCAAAAGCCCATACTACAGGACACAATGAGCAGGGACGGCGCCCTGCTGCCCATCTGGGGCATCGAGAACCCTGCAGGCCGAGGTGACTCAGCTATAGCAGCAGAGGTGAACGTGACAAATGGCAGCTCACACCGACGCTGTGTCAGGCTGCAACTGCAGTGGGACTCCTGATCACTCCAGGTCCCCAACCGGCAGAGCTGAGGGTCTTGGGGCTCTCCCCAGGGCTTGTCCCCTAAACTTTCCCGAGCCCAAGTTCCCCTCACTGAGGCTCAGCTGGACTGGAGGGACTGCTCTCAGCTCCAGGGGAGGTGGGTCTTCTTGCCATCGTTGGCAGACCCAGGTCACCACGGATTGAAGATATTTGAGGTGTCTGCATTGTAGCTGTTCTCATGTCAGCCCTAAGCTGCAGCGTAGCAGGTTCGGACGAAGCTGTGTGCTGTGGCAGGTTTAGCAGCGTGGTAGAGGGTAGGGGCAGCCATGGGAGGAGGCACACAGCTTCCAAGTAGGCCGCATCCCATTGTCAGTCAGAGCTGTGAGCATCTGCAGACGTGGGCATCCACTGCAGGTCCTGGAGCCAGTCAGGGGCCACCATGTCCCTGTGGGAGATATCTCCGAGCCAGCAGCCCACTCAAGGACAAACGTGTGCTCCCTGTTGGCGGCAGGCTCACTGCACAAGACCTGCATGGGCCAGGCCCCAGCCCTGGCTTCCTGACTGCCAGTCGGAGACGGGGAAGGGCAACTCTGAGAGCTGTCGCTGTCACAGCCCCGTGTCCAGTCCTGTCCCCAGCCACTGTCCCCCGCCTCCTCAGCTCCACTGTCAAGTCGTCCTGTGAGCATTCAGACCCAGGAAGTTACCAAATGATTTGAGCTGGTGCTGTGGTATAGCAAGTTAAGCCCCTGCCTACAACTCCAGGATTCCACATGGGCGCTGGTTCATATCCCAGCTGCTCCACTTCCCTTCTGGCTCCCTGCTGGTGGGCTCAGAAAGCTCTCTGTAACTCTGACTTTCTAATTAAAAATTAAACAAATCTTTTTTTTAAAGGAAGATAAATCATTAGGAAAAGAAAAAAAAAAAAAAAAACAAGTAACAGTTGCACTTCCCTTTTCACCTTGGCCACCAGGAAGCCCAAGCTAATATGCAGATGGCAATCACAGTAAATCCGTCTGCCCACTGGGCCTGTCTGTGCACTGGCTTTCCTTCTTGCTCTCCTGCCTTTTTTTTAATCCTCTGTTGCACACACACGCACCGGCTGTACCTGTGGTACTCCCAGCTTCTTGAAGCTGATGGGGTCACTGAACCGCCCTGGGTTCAGCTTCCTCCTATGGAGGTCGGAGGTTAGAGACGCTTGTCTCGTTGTGTGGATCACATGAAAGGATCCCTGTGGACAGAAAGCCCAGCCGAGGCCAGCCAACAGCACCTGCCCGGGCCGGCAGAGAGCACAGGTCCTGGGTGGGAAGACAGCTGTGTGACCACAGGTCCCCTGCTGCGCGCTCTGAGCATCCCTTGGCCAAGCCTGCTCATCCCCGGGAGCCTTAGGCAGCCGGAAGCAGCCCACGTGGGAAGAAGGAGCTGCCAGCACACAGTGGGACTGCATGCGTTATTACCCCACCAGCAGGCAGCCAGGGGCATCCTCAGCTAGCGGCTGTCATCTCTCATATCCGAGTGGTACAAAGTCCCAGGGAGCTTGGAAGCTGCACCCTTGGCCATTGCAGGACAGCTGCGAAGTGGGGCTGGGGTCTCAAGGATCGCGCAGGGCTGGGACAGGCGTGGATAACAAGACATGCTGCCTCGGGTGTGAGGTTCTGAGAGGGCCCAGCCTGGCACCCATACTGGCATCCATAAGCCCTTGGAGGGGCTGCAGGCCTCCCAAAAAGACCGAGAAATGCCCCTTCCTGGACATTTCGGCTGTCAGGGCCAGCTCTGCCCGGGACACGGAGGGGTAGGACCACGGGGTGGGGAGGGGGTACATCAAGCTTAGCTGTGGTTACTGTTATTTATAACTGGTTTTTGAACCCCCGCCAAGAGGGCGTGTTCACAGCCTGCACTATGGCCTTTGGGCAGGCGCTAAGAAACTAACCCAGGAGGGCTCTTGGGCAACGGTTAAACCCCCCAGGGCGCCCACTTCCTCAGTCCACTGATGGCTGATATTTTGGGGTGAAATATGACCATCTTTACGATCAAAGGGCTCGGAGCTCCAAAGGAAAGCAACAGAGGGAAAAAAAGCTGGGGGTGGGAGCAAGGCCGCT